CCCAGGAGTTGGAGGTTGCTGTGAGCGTGATGCCATGGCACTGTACCCAGGGGGATAGCTTGAGGCTCCGTCTCAAAAAAAAAAAAAAAAAAAAAAGAGATGCTCTATGAAATAACTGAAGTATACTTTTCAAGTGTTAAATGTCATGAAAGACAAAGAAAGAATGAGGAACTGTTCTGTACCAGAGGATACAAAGCAATCATTACAATTATATTGTAATGTGTGGTCTTAGGTTGGATCCCAGAACAGAAAATGGTCTATAGTTTAGTTAATAGTATTGCACCCATTGATAATTTACTGATTTTGACAATAATACTATTGTCATTTGTTTGTTTGTTTGTTTTTAGAGACAGAGTCTCACTCTGTTGCCCCCATTGGTTTTTTTTTTTTGCCTTTTTTTTGGGGGGGAGGCCAGGACTGGGTTTAAACCCACCATCTCCGGCATATGGGGCTGGTGCTCTATTCCCTTGAGCCACAGGTGCTGTCCCACTTTGTTGCCCTTGATAGAGTGCTGTGAGGTCACAGCTCACAGCAACCTCCAGCTTTCAGGCTTAGGTGATTCTTTTGCTTCAGCCTCCCGAGTAGCTGGAACCACAGGTGCCCCTCACAACATCTGGCTATTTTTTGTTGCAGTTTTGCTGGGGCCAGGTTTAAACCCTCCACCCTCGGTATATGGGGCCCGTGCCCTACTCACTGAGCCACAGGCACTGCCCTGTTTGTTGAGACAGAGTCTCACTATGTCAACCTCAGTAGAGTGCCAAAGCTTCACAGATCACAGCAACCTCCAACTCTTAGCTTAAGTGATTCTCAGCCTCCCGAGCAGCTGGGACTACAGGTACCCGCCACAATGGCCGACTATTTTTTGGTTGCAGTTGTCATTATCCTTTAGCAGGCTAGGGCCGGACTTGAATCCACCAGCTTGGATGTATGTGGCTGGCGCCCTAACTCACTAAGCCAGAGGCACCCAGCTGATAATAATACTATTGTTATACAAAATGTTTAAAGGGTCAGAATAAAAGGTATATGATAATTTTTTTTTCGCAGTTTTTGGCCG